GCCAGGTTGATGGAGATGCAGTATGGTGCCCATGGCTCTGTCGAGAGAGAGGGTTTAGCACAGGAACAATGGCTTCTGTCAGCTGTCTGGAAGAAAGCTGTACCCCCAACCCTTACTCTGATGCCAGACACTTCAGTTCCTCCCTATATGCCCCTGGTGCCTTTCAAGCTGCTGCCACAGTGCTGGAGCTCAAAGGAAATGAGTTCAAATATGTGAATGGGTCCTGTAAGAGGAACACCTGGGACTCTGGAAGCCCCCTGTGTCTCTCAGGAACAATCCCCACTGGTTTTTACTGCCAGGGGTTATGTGGACTTCTCTTTCTGGCAGTGGAATCCTGGGCTGTGGGACCTGGTGTGAGATCAGTACCCCTGGCTCCTCAGGGGGGAACCCCCACAGCCAAGATATCCCCCCAATTTTTATCCACCACACGTGGATACAGGACCAGCCTATTCCCATCTCTGCCCCTCCTACCAGTCCCAATGTGGCTTCTTTTTAAATTCCCTCGTTTTAGGACTTCCATTCTGCCAGATTTCAGGTGATTTTGAATGATGACTATTCTGTAGTTTAGTGGCAATTTTGATGTGGTTGTGGTAGGAGGTGAGTACCATGTTTACCTATGCCACCATCTTGACCAGATCTGATGACTTTTACTTTTAACAGTTTTTTGAGCTTAACACTTACAATCAGTGAATTCCTGAAAATGTGCAGATGATTATCTGCAGGATGAATTAGTTGTTATTAACAGGATTTTCAAAACTCACTTGGATCTCAAGCTCCATTCCCCACAGGCTCTCTCTTCAGCATTAGTGTAGCAGTATGAATGAACTGATCTAACATCCCAGGATCCCACCAAGATGCCACACTCTTTTACACACACATTGCAATCAAGAGAAAAATATACATTTTAAGGACTAATAACTCCATAACAAAAGAGAAGTAATAATATAAAATCAAACTATGTAAATGGCTGCACTACATTCCATAAAGAACACTAGAATTAGAAGAGACTTTAGGAAAAATCTGGATCAGCCATTTGACCCAAACCGTGTCTATCAGATTCTTTCTCTCAGTTTAGGATCGAGGCTAAATGATTAAGCCTCTCTGTAAATATTTAGGAGCCTCTGAGAAGCCACATTCAGCCATGAATAAAAGAAACAGAAACAAAATGGTCAGCAAACAGAGAACAATGAAGCAAAGAAAGGCAAAGACTAGAGACTGGGGAAGGTGCAGGTTTTCCAGTCCCTGGTCCCTAATAAGGTCTGTCTGCATTTGGATTCCATCTAATTCCTTTCTTTTTCTGAAAACTAGTTCAAGTTCATTTCTGTTACTTGTAGTAGAAGCTTAAATGAGGGAATAACCAAAATCTTCTACAAAATCAATTGGTTAATTCATTAGTGGTCTACCCCTCCTATATAGTCATACCTCAGTACTTGTCAGCTTCAGAACTCACCAAACCTATACTCCTCACATTTTAACGGGAAAAAACATGTTTCAGTACTTGATGATTGATCGGGACTCATCATACTCGCTAGAACTTGTATGAGTCATAACGCCGTTCCACAAAAGAAAATGTTCCATCATTTGGTATTCATCGGTTTTGTTACTCATTACGAGTTCTGGAACGAATTAACGAGTGCCAAGGTACCACTGTTCTTTCCTTTTTCTTTATTTATATATCTTTAAAAGCCGTAAGTATAACTTTGGTATGCTGTAGAGACAAATATGTGAACAGAGATCCAATATTTTGCTAAGCATTTTAAAAAGAAAACCTATCATGCCCAGGAAGGAGAAAACATAGGAATATTCAAGGAAAACCTTGAGATACCTGGTTAGCAATAAAAGATGCTAACTAATAACTGGCAAATTAAATAAACAGTTATCTGATTACCTTCCCAATGAAAGCCAATTTAATTCTGAATAAACCAGATGGGTAGATCCAATTCAGTGAAAACCCATATAGGGCATTTTGTCTGGAATGCCCACAAATGAGTAGCCACAGTCCTCCCAACCACAAAAAAGTTTGGATTCTCTTCAGTGGCATCCCTAAACCAGACCAAAATTCCAAAACTGAATACCAAACCATTTTAGGGCCTGGACTTAACCATCCCCAAAGAGCAGTGAGGCATTTACCTTATGACCTAACTAGCACTTTCTGGTATCAGGGAAAGAAAAGAAATTTACAGAAGCCTAATTTTATGGAACTCTATGCAGGTGAGTACACGTGCCAGGCATCAAGACATTCCTGAGGCAGATGCAGGCTCCCTAATGCTGGATCCACACCCATCAGATCTGACTACAAGTAGACTAGTTTAACATGTATAACAAGTCAAAGTTGACAATCAGAAGTCTGAATCAATGTGGTGGGTGGCTCTGCAGGATTGTATAAACAAAAACAGCACTGTAGGATCATGGAGTTAGAAGGGACTTGGGAACTGTATCCAACTTCATCATTTTACAGAAAAGAAAGTTAAACATTAGAACCAAATTTATCAACCAAATCCCTAACTATAATGAGTAACACAGACGAGATAAAATCAAAAGGACTGTGATCAAATTAGGATAGAAACAAAAAGTATCTGGTTCTTCACTTTAATTTTATTTCCTAAAATTGCTCTTTAATGACTGAAACTTTATTTTTAATTCAAAAAAGGATAAATTAGGAAAAATCTGTAAAAACCTCTGTTGGGATTTTTTTGATATTGTGTTACTTGATTTTAACAAAACAGTAAAGATTTCTAACCTAATGGGCTAACATTTTAGTTAAGATATTAGAACAAACACTTTTAAAAGCCAAAAAAAAGGAAAAGAAAATGCCCTTGCTGGATGGGTCAGTTAGCTGGAGCGTCATCCCATACACCAAAATGTTAGGGGTTCAATTCCCAGTCAGGGTACATACCTATATTGCGGTTTCAATCCCCAGTCCTGCTGCGTATGGGAGGCAACTGATCAATGTTTCTCTCTCTCATTAATGTTTCTCTCTTTCTCTCCCCCCACCTCTTTCTCTCTAAAATCAATAAACATATCCTCAGGTGAGGATTAAAAAGTTTTTAAGCCAAAAAAATGGGTGTTGATTCAAAACCTAAATGATGTTATGTTTAGGATGATGTATGCTTGCAAGCCCAGCACACAGGCAGTTTAGGCACTGTGACAAAATTCTAAATGGCCGAGACATACTCATTTTGATATAAAAATTCCAGACTATCACAGAACGCCCTAATAAAAGTCATCAGAAATTAGACTTATATGTCAGCTAGGATCAAAATTAAAAGAATAGATGTTTAAGTGATCTAAATATAAACTTGGTGTTAGAAATTGCCAACAAGGGGCCACAGTATAGTGGGCTTTGGTCTTCAAGAGCTGCTTGGCTACAGCATTAGGTAAGTCAGCACATCGCTAAGGGAAAAAAAGACATAAATCTATCTCCTGTACAATCCACTGTTTAAGGTGCAGCACAGTATTTCTTAGAAGACCACTGATAAAATGCGAAGTTAGAACTTGTTGTGTTTCCTGAGAAGTGCTATTAAAGTTACTACTAAAGTAAGAATCATAAAAAGCAGATCTTTTGGGAAAACAATATTAACCAGAAACAAATACAAAATTGATATCATCACTTAAATTAATGTTTATAAACTACACATTTAATAAAAGTTAAATATTTTTAAACCTATTTATCTGAATTGACAATGTTAGGTTACATAAATCCTGGAGACTTTCTATAGAAAAAAACTAACTTTTAAAATCTATTTTGCCAACAATGCTGTAAATGGAAGTATTATGAAGAGATAGCCAGAGAGTGGTGAATATAATCTAAGCTTAAGAGACTCAACTTTCAACTAATTTATGTGTTCTATTTGTTAGTCATATCTTATTTTCAACAGTTTAATGTATTGGTAGCAAAAACAAAAGCACGATTTCCTAAGAAATCTCAATTCTAAGGAATTAACATTTCTGTAACTACATACCAGATAAAATTAAAAACTGAGAAGTTTTAATGACTAGTTAGATACTAATCACAAATATAAAAGTTCATGCAATTTCATATTTACCTTAAATTCTAAATATTTGTACTTTCAAATAATAAATTTTTATAATAATCATATACTTATAAATTCCTCACTGATATTTTCCACGATTTAAAGAAAACTATCCTTAAAAATCAACCCAAGAACTCAAAGTTGTCCCACTTGATAGCCTACAGTCTTAAACCAAATAATGTAATGCCACCTTTCGTTCATATAGTTTGCGTTGAAATAGTGCACTGTAAAGCTTAAAAACAGATTTGGATGCTTTTTCTCCGCTTAAAAACAAAACAAAACTAGTACCTGGCAAACTCCGGGTTTGTTAGGTCCTGGCCTATTAAATACCAGCCGGCCCTGAGCCAGCGGCGCGGCAGAGGCGACGCGCAGGCGGTGGGTGCGCCGTTGGGTGCGCACCTCCTCGGCTCCCGCCCGCGGGTCCCGTGCCCCCCGCGCCGCCGGCGCCCCACGGCCCTCCCGGACGCGCGGCGGGAGGGGCGGGCCTGGCTGGCACGTTCCCACGCACCCGGGCCCGTTATCTGAGCTGCCACCTCAGCGGAGCTGACCTGCGCGGAGCGGGAGGCTCCAGGGGCCCCGCCGGGAGCCCCAGCGCCCGCCCGAGCCGCAGGGGGCGTCCCGTCCCCTGCCTCCGGCAGGATGCCCCGCCAGGCCCCTCTCTCGGGGCCCCGCGCCGGGTGAGAGCCTCTGCGGGCTCAGGTTCGCTCCGGGGACGGGATAAGGTGTCAGCCAGGCGGCTAGGCGCCTCCCGTCGGCGGGGGCGAACCAGCCCTGACCTCGTTCGAGCCACCCCTCGCCGCCCGCACGGGGCGCTCCCCTTCCTCGCCTCTCCTGGTCTCGGGACAGGGGTGTCCCCGCAGGAGTCTGAGGGGGCGCCGCCGGAGCTCGCCGGGGCGCGGTCCCACTTCAACTTGGCAGGGTCCGGTGGGAGGGGTGAGGGGTGGCAGAGAGGGAGCCCAAACTTACCCGACTGCGCCGCTCCTCGAGCCGCGGCCGCGGCCAGGCAGACGCAGAGGCAGAGCGAGAGGGGGCGCGGGAGGGTCCGCCGCGGGCTCATGGAAGGACCAGGGAGCCGCCGCCGCCGCCGCCTCTGTCCGAGCCTCCCTTCCTCCCGCCCCGGCTCCGGGCGACGGACGGGGCGGCGGGAGGCATGACGGGAAATTCCTGGGCACGGGCAGCCGAGTCCAAATATGAGCAAAGGAGAGGAGCGAGGGAGGACGGCGGAGCGCGCCCGGCGCGGACGGGGCCCGCTGCCCGGCCTCGGCGGCCGCCAGCTCCCTCCTCCTCCTCCTCCTCCGTAGCCGCCCCAAGGCCTCCGGCCTCGGGGCGCGACCGGGAAAGGGAAGCCCTGAACCAGGGGCCTGCCTTTCCAACGTTGGGGCCCAAGAGCGGAGCCGAGCATCCCACCCACGGGTCCCACCTGAGACCCCTGAACGGTTAGGAAAGAGAAGCCAGGATCGGGAGGCCGGACAGCCAGCCAGGGACCAGTGGGAAGACGTTTAAGGGGTTTGAGGAGACTCGTGCTTCCACTAATCAGATGTGAGCTTTGGTAGTGAGGGGATAAGATCTGGCAAATACTTCTAAGTGCGGGTGGGTGAGACTGGAGCCCCACTTCCAGTTATGCACACACTCAGGCGAGCCATCCTGTGCTTAACAAGCAGACGTTACAACACATAAAACCACGCCCCTGCATTCCAGGTGAGGGGACCCTCTACACCAGGTGTGAGGGGTGTGTGTGTGTGTTTTCTTAGCCAAGATTACAAAGGGGCTCTTCCCAAACTTATATTTGAACACCACATATGGAGTCAAGGTGGGCTGAATGACAATAGTTTTTCACACTACCTAAATGCTGCTGTGTAGACTTGTCATTCTTCCTGCCTCCAACTTCTTTTCATCCTCCTTACACTAGTTCTGTATTATTGTAGCTTGTCTTAAGGGCAATGTTGAAATTTATTCAAAAGGTACTACCACTGATGATCAAATGTCAGTCTCGGATGTGTGATTACAGGCCTAAGTCAGTAGTTCCCCCACTTGCCTTTGACACTGATAACTCCTCTAGGATTCAAGTCCAAATGACCCTTAGCTTTTCAAGGCAACATAATTATGTCTTAATTATTGTAATTTATTTATTTTTACTCACACTAATGGAACAGGCCTTGGGGATGTACGATGTTATGTAATTACTTGTAAACATGTTAAGATGCTTACAGAAATTATTTATTGATGCAAAATACTTAAAGGGGTAAATGTCAAACATATTTAGAGTGTGGATTATTCTAACATGAACTAAAGTATGGTAATTTGTATATCACACTGTTTGAAAATGCCATATGTATTTGAAAATCAGAAACTTTATTTCAAAACACATTCAATTTTGGCAAAGTATTGAGGCCCATATGCCAAAAACCCGTCCATTTGCTAGTGGCTCCCTGTAAATCATCTGATACTGAGAAATGCCACATCCCTGGCAAAGGGACAGAGTCCACACTTAATGTACTAACAGTAATGGTGGGACTAAGGAGAGATGACCCAAGTAGACTAACAGTAAATAAACTGATAGGGTAAATAAGAGATTTAAAAAACATACAGCATTATTATTCAATTTAGGTACCTAGAAGCTGGATAGTGGGAAGGGAATACTCAGGAAACTCTTGACCATTACCGCCTTTTCTTCTTTTTTGTGTATTTAAACATTGATTATATAAGCACCTGTTTTTTCTTTCCTCACAATACCTGGCATAGTTCTTTGCCCATAGTCTAAACATTTATTTAAGAACTAAAGTAAAATGAGCACAGTCATTTGTAGATTGACATATAGGAACTCCCTAAGTGTAGAGAAAAACTTATTTCAAATAATTGTAAAGCTGTAACAATTATGACTATACTTAAAATACTTCAGTTGACTTTAGATACACAAGTGTAAAATTATAAAGAATGCAATATCATCACCACCTAATTTATGTTAATATAATTGGAGAGTTCATTTACTGGATCAACTCTGCTAACATGACAGCAATACCAGCAGCTGTTCTAAAGGCTTGAATGAGTATGTTAAAGAGAGGAGAAAAATAAACTGTTACTGGGTGCATAATAAGTGTCAGGTACTGTGCTAGGTGTTTTACACATGACATCTCATTTAATCTTTACAGATATCTGTGAGCTCATTTTTTTTAATCCCTGTTTTACCGGTAAGGAGACCAAGGCATAAGTAAGTACATTAGGCTGTCAAGAAGGGGTGAAGTAGTGTTGGAATTCCAACCTCATTCCAAAGTCCATAGTAAGTTTTATTCTTTTACCATACTAATCTGTCCCATTTTCTCCACAATTAAAATAAAAGTGGCATTCAAAAGCTGTGTTCATTGGGCTCTTGTGGTTTTAAGTAACCGGTGTGCACTCGGGTTACCTCAAGCAGTAGAGGTAAAGAATACATGTGGAAATAAGAGCAGAGACCTAACCTGCTTGTCCAGTCGTCTTCTGTGGGCCTGGGCGGTCGGGGCCTGCACCTTTGGTAGGTACCAGGAACAGGAGAAGTTCTACCTACTCTCTGACCACATTCCTGTGAGTTTTTTACTTTACTGCTATTTAAATCATATATTTCACAATATTTTCTCTCATATCTTTTTTATCATAATCTTAATAACAATCATGTTAACACATTACCTTAAACTTTGTTTGTTTTTAAGACAAAGGACCCAACGGATGTAACTTCTTTCCCTGTTTTCCATCTACCATCCGTCCCCCATCCTAGTGTGTGCCGGAGACCTGAATCGTAACAAAAACTGATGTATGTGGTATCAACACTCCCACCAACCTGAGTCTCTTGAGAGGTACACACGACCAGCTTTTGGGCCTCTAGGACGCAGCCCCAGCACACTGCTGCCACAGCTCCTCACGAAATGTCTCTGAGCACAGCCATAGTTCAGGTTGCACAACCACAGCTTTTCCCAGTTCTGCTCCCACCACCAGCTGCCATTTCTCTCTGTAGCTCCAGGGGAAATATTTGCTTCTATCACCATTGTCCCTTAGAAAGTTCTTGCATGAGACTATCTCATAAGCTACTGAGCCTACAGTTTGGCTACCTCCAAGCCAGGGGTCCTCTCCAATTTCTTCAACTCCTGCTGCACAATGTGGTCACCTATGCTAAAACAAACAAAAACAAAAACAAAGAAAACTGTGGTTCTATTTTTTTAGGGGCAGCCTTTTTCATGGAATCTGTAAGCACAACAGGCATGCAAGCTGTAAACACTCTGACATACTATTCTCAGCTTTTTAGTAACATCCCCTCAGCCGCTATGCAAAGCTTTGGGACAGTCCCCACTCCACAGACCCCAAGGAATATCTTGGTTGAATGCCAACAACTGCAAACACAAGCATGGACACATTAGGACTAGATACTATTCAAAAGTCCAATCATAGTGAGAAGCTCCCAAGTTAGTACTTAAATTCAATGACTATTTATCAAGTGCCATTTCCTAAATCAATAATGATCAGTTGGAGAGTAAGAAAATTATCTCCTAAGAAGATGTAACAGGCTCTCCAGAAGAAAGTTTTTCAATCCAAACTCCCCAAATCCTGTTTCCTTATCCTAGGAAGTAGAATGCTGTCGCTCTCGCCCCCTGCTGAGAACACTGGTCTGAACTGAAGGAAGTGTGTCCCGAGCCTCAATATGCTGGGCTGGGAATGGAGTTGAGGAGAGCTATCTTCTCAGCCTCACGAGGGACACCAAGTCAATGCTGACTGGCTAAGGGAGACGCCTGCCAATTGCTCTCAGATTCTGATCCATGACACCCTTTAAGTCCTCAGGTACCAAATGCACTAAAATGACATGGACTGCACCATTATAGCAGCTGGGACCCCTACTGAAAGAAGACTAAATTAAAGTGAGCATTTTTGTTCTGTTTATGGTAAAATGGTTTGCCTGCATCTCAAATGACATTTTGTAAAAATTTACACAGTTGAAGCCATTCCTCTTGTTGATTAATTATGGAAAGATTTGAAGTATGTATTCCCATGACTGATGCGCTGCCTGATCCTGCCAGTTTGGCCTGTGGATATGCTACAACAAGTGATAAAATATTTAACAAGGTTCTCAATATTATAGAGAATTAAATAATCCTCTCTAGACTAGCAAAGCTGTTTAGCTTTTGGCAAGATTGCATCACATAAAGTGATATATGCAAAAATCAACTACATGACAGAGTAAGACGAGAAGGAGGGGCAAAAATGAACTTTTTAAGTCATATCAGAAGACTCTGATGGGAGACTTGATTCTACTCTTTTCCTCAGTCTGTTCCTCAGTGCTTTCATAAGACTATCTCACCCCATGGTGTGTGTGTGTGTGTGTGTGTGTGTGTGTCCAGTGTTTAAAGGTGTGTATTTTTCACACAACTTGTCCATAACTGCAAACCAGCTCCTTCATGTGTTCTTTATCCAAAGTGGTTACAATCTGATCCAGTAGTACAGGAACCCTGGCTGGGTTGGGCTTGCTGGGAAACAGTATGTTGCTCTCCCGAACGATGCCTGCTTACACGATTCTCCTCAGTACTAACTTCTGCCTAATTTTCACTCTGCAAGCTACCTTAAGGGCCAGATCTCAAAGTAAGATACAGCTCCTCTCAGTGGTCAGCGACTTGGGCTTTGATGTCAGACAGATCTGGGCTCCAGCACAGCCTCTACCATTAAAGCTTATGGGACAATGGACAAGTTACTTAACTACTCTAAGTCTTGCTATTCTTTCTTCTCTGTAAAATGGAAAAACAAAAGTACCTACCACCAGGAGCCTTAGTACTATGCTAGCAAATGGTAAATGTCAATATAGTACTAAATTAACTTTTGTCATTGCTTACCCATTTCCAATCTCCACAAAGTCACTATTTGCCTTGAAGTCTTATCTGATATGATTTCCTTCATCTGAAATGACTCAGAGTTTCTTTTCACAGCTTAGCGTCCTACATTTGTATTCATCATTACAGAAGTCTGTTCAGAATTAGTAACCCTTTCAACACATCTTCTTCAAATTTACTTTTTACATTTATACCCCAAGTTACTAACAGTAACTATGTTTCCAAATATGTATTTATGTCTTAACTTCCTCAAAATAATCACATTAGAAGGATATACAATATATGAATGACTGTTCAAACCATTTGTGAAAACCAGTTTAAAGCTG